GGGAGATACTGTAAAATCAAAAAATATTAGATTTCAGTTAACACTGTGAACATCTGAGAAGCCATGTTTTGCATAAAAATACAAAACAATGGTAACAATGCAAACAGAACAATTTACAATGTGAATGTTTAATCATGCAGACATACCTCTTAAAGTTCTTTCAGATAGAAAGGTAACATCTATCATACAGTGAAAACTATGTAAATAAATGCACAAATATTGTTGTAAGTAGGTAGATATTTTGATAATATAATAGAAAGATTCAACTCTGAAATTGCTTTCAGATGTCCAACACAAATAACCCACTGTTTCTACCAGCATTAAGCTTGGAAATTCCTACCATCATAATATTGCTTACTATGGTTACATAATTTCCCTCAAATTCTCATCTTCCTATAGCTGCAGCCTCCCTATGGGATCCTTAGTTTGAGTCAGGAACAACTGGTTTTTCCTTTTGGACCATGCTGTAGAGTGCAATCATGGACTAGGCCTGGTAATGTACTTATTCCCTCTTGCAGACATTCTCTTTCTAGGCAGTGCTGCAAAGATTTTTCTGTGAAACACAGGAAATTTCTACTACCTTGAGGTTTCTTGATTTGTTAGGTTTTTTAGCTAAGGTCTTACTAAGATCCATATTTCATGTGAACTAATTTTTTAAATAATGTCCGCAATATCTCTTTTTAAAATACCAGACTTCCATTAATGGCAGTTCTGATCAATCATACATCCCTTAATACAGACTTCCAAAATGCACCACAAAGCAGCTATACTATAAAATTAAACAGAACTTGAATATTCATTTTACAAAACCAATGCATGTTTGGTCACAAATACTGGATTATTTTTCTAGTATTTCCTTCTTTTCAAACTTGTAAAGTTTGATTTGAGAGAGTGCTGATCCCTATTCTTTGAAGCAAGCTAGCATCATTAGGATGACAAAATCAAGTCTTATTGTGGCAAGAAGAAACATCATTTAGTGTCAACAACACACTGCTATTGATTTGAACTCCTCCTTGCCTCACGGGTGAAAATAACAAGCTCTACACACAGACTCTCTAAGCATACCAATAGAGGAAAGAGGCAAGAAAAATACTAAAAATGGCTGTATTAAAGATACAACAGGAAATATGTGAGTCATGAGATGCAAATTCTTTTATCTGTATGAAACAAATTGAAGAAGAGCTTAATATGGCTTCTGCAATTTCTATGCAGTTAGATTAGAACAGAAATATACCTACCAATAATATACCAGATTTAGGCTTCCCAACCAGTATCTCCTAACTGTTCAATACTCTCTGTGAAACAAGTCAGCTTCATGTTCATTATCTAATACTCACTAATCATTTTTCTAAAATGTCGCCTTATTTTAGCATCCTGGTTCACCATTTCAGCAGAAATTATCCTTTAACAATACTGGTAGGATCTCATTAAAGCAGAGCTAAGAAACTGTCAACACAGCCAAGTTGACTCGTCTTATTTCTGAACAGAATCCAATTCAGAAAAAAAAAAAAAAAAAGTATCCTTTTTAAAAGACACAAAAAAGAGTAAGTCCATGGTCATGTAACATCAGTATAAATACCACTTTGCATAGTGCCCTGGTTTTGGTTGCAATAGAGTTCATTTTCTTTGTCAGGAGATGGTATGGAGCTGTGTTTTGGATTTAGGATGAAAATAATGTTGGTAATACATTGATGTTTTTGTTGTTGTTAAGCAGTGCTTAGACCAAGTCAAAGGACTTTCCAATGTCTCCCGCTCTGCCAGTGTGGAAGTGCAAAGGAAGCTGGGAGGCAGCACAGTCAGAACAGCTGATCCAAAGTGGCCAAAGGGATATTCCATACCACAGAACATCATGACCAGTATATAAGCTGGGGGGACTTGACCAGAAGAAGCTACTGCTCAAGGACAGACACAAGCTGGGGGACAGTCAGCAGGTGGTGAGGAATTTCATTTTTTTTTAACAATTGTTTTTCTTGGGCTTTATTCCTCCTCTCTGTTTTTTCTCTTCTCATTACTATTTTTATTATATTTTACTTTATTTCAATTTTTATTTCAATATCTCATGGGTTTTATTATTTTTCAATTCTACTCCTCATCCCATGACGGCAGAGAGGGGAATGAGTGAGGGGCTGCCAAGTACTTGGTTGCCAGCTGGGTTAAACCACAAGAACACATCAATAGCTCCTTTTCTAGAACTTAAAGCTATGTATTTGAGTAAATCTGCAAACTAAATATGTAGTGAGATAAAATACTGCTCATGTTGTCTAACTGCACCCAAAATTTAAACTAATTTCAAGCATTTTTGTAGCATCAATTTAGCATGCTAGAATTCCATAGTCTATCTCAAAACATGAACAAAGTAATATACACAGCATAAAAAATTACTTCAAGATAACTTCGTTGTTAAAAATACTTAAGTACAGGGAACAAAGCTATTTTCATACCACATCCAGAAAATGGATGAGGTGTGAAAGAAATCTCTTGTTTAATGTGACCTTTGGCTGTACTTTCACTTGTCATCATTATGAAGTAGCTACTCTCAGTGCCAACACATAAGCTGCGTTATATTATCCCATAACAGTAGTAGCACATCTTTCACGGAGTGTTTCATACTTCAAGAAACTAGTGGCAGAATACACTGACAGCACTTACCTTTGTAGCTGCTTATAATAGGTCTTATTCAAGAATAAGACCTCATTTACAAAAGGAAATAAGAGGATACTAAATTTCAGAGAGCATATTGCATAAACTAGGATATGTTGAGGAACTCCCTTGGAGTTCTCAGCTTTAGCGAAAACATTCAAATAAGGAGAAATGTAAATTTCAGATTGGAACTCTGCCCCAAATAATAATATTCAGAGCTTTGTTACTGTGCACAGACCAAAAATACTGCATCATTAAGATCTGCAACATACTTGACTTTTCTTAACGCATATAATTAAGAAAATATTTCTGGAAAGCAAATGAATTTGAAATTCAAGTAAGATTAATAGAACAAATACGGCAAATTTACGTTTTATACAATAGTAGTAAGTTGCAGAATAAAAATCAGTAGCTATCATTATCTAAAGCTGTTCATCTAACACCACAGAGAGAAAAACTATTGATACACACTATACACACATTTTTATCCATGTATATAAATCAAAGGAAACAGCTTCCTTTAAGGCAAGCATATGAAGATACTAAAGCAAGATACAAATTAAATATTCATACATTCAATATTTCAAAATAAGGAATTTGGATATACACATGCATAATTTAAGTTCTATAGTGAAACCTGTCTACAGAGGCCATTTCTACTGTATTTCAACAGCATTGAAACTTGAAATGTACAATGCAGCCTTTCCGTGCTATGTTAAAACTTTAAAGTATACAGTAATTCATTTCAAGCACTAAACAGAATAAAGGCCACATTATGCACACGGCACTTCTGCAGAGGAACTGCTGCTTTGCCCTATTCTTTACAGCTCTGAAACAGGGCTGTCAGTCCTGCAAGGTGCTTTTAGACTGCCTGAGGTACTCACTGGGAACTGAGGCCAAACAGGCAACTTCAGGAACAAGGTGGCTCACTGGCCCTGAAAAGCTCATCACTCAGAACCGACTCCAAGTCAAATTCTGATCCCAGGCACCAGTTTTAAACTCTGTTGAGCTGGTGCCCACAACTAAAGCCTGAAACTGGCCCCTTACACTGCCCTTATACACTCACTCCAGCCTCTATGGAGCAAAGATGATATTTCAGACCTTTCTGATTGGCAGAGGAAAGGAACACAAAAACTGCTTTCACACTATGTTGTGCACTAGAAATGATTCTTTGTGATCACAGAACCTAGTTCTTTGTGATCACAGAAAGTAGTTTCTGTACAATAACACAGGCATGTTAAATTTGAAAACCTTATAAATTCCTATGCATTCAAAAAACACTGGGAGAAAAAAACCCTTACTATCCACCTTAATTCCCTCAATATATACCTCCGTCTCTAAAGACACCAGCATTCCTCGCCATGTACTCCTCCCCCATCTTGCCATTTTAAAAGAACTCTCCATATGGGTAACTAATGTGAATATTTTATTTTCTTATTAAAAGTTAAATGTATTAGTTCAAACATCAAAAGCCTCATTTTAAAAACATTCATTTTACTGGGACAAAAATATACATTAACTTGAAGAATAATTAAAGAGTACTTATTAAGAGGAAATAAAACTACTCTATTTCTACAGTTTAAAGTAGATGTTTATCTTTACCCCTTAAAGGTCATTCATTTGATCTTGACACACCTATGAAATCATAGAGGCAAAAGCTAAGTAAGTAGAAAAGTGGTATTAAGGCATATAAAACTAAACAAAATTAGTATCTACATGGTAAATTACTTCATTGAAAACCATCTATGGATTCTGCAAAGAATATACTTTTGCCTTAGAGCTAGTACTTTAATTTTCAAGAACTAAGAAAAAAAAATCAAAACTAGTCAGTAACAATGCAGCGTCGAAAAGCAATAAACTCAAAATTAAGTTATAAATAATTTAAAGCATGTCATGAAGATGTATTAATAATTCATCAGATAAATAATTTACTAAATAATCAAATAAATAAATAATGAAATACATAAATAAATCAGCAAATAAATAATTCTGCAAAATAACCTAAACAATAAGTCACTAAAACAAATGACAAACCTACAAAACTACAATGATTTTCTAAATTCTGATAGTTTTAAATAAACAAATGTATATAAACTAGATCAATCTTTGGTGGATAGAGAAATATTTTTCACTGCTATTGGTGAATTCCTGATTACACTGCACAAGGATACAATTTTAGATTTTACAAGAGTGCAGTTTTTCCCTTGTAAATTATTAACATGATTGCTACAATACATCCTGCTCTGTATTTTACACGTAATCCCTTTATGTAGCTCATTTTTCCCCCCAAAAATGAAAATCTCTTTACAACATTCTTAATTCACATATTTCTTTTTTTTTTCCCTGGGTGCAGTACTTACAACACTGCAATAGCCTTCTTGGTGGTTCTCTTATTGTCTTCTGCAAACCTTCTGAAGTTTTGCTGCAGGGGAAAAACAAGTAGAATAACCTTCATTATTACAGATGGTATCTCATTCATTAGCAGATGACAACATTTTATTTGAAAGCAGAAGAAAAGCTGTTTTATAATTCTACAAAGCAACTTAATGTGAAACAGCCATTACAGTTTGCAGACTACCAAAAGTTTTTAGAAGTCTTTGGTGGAATGAGTTCAAGCAGACTGAGGCCTGTTTCTTGTATTTAAGCTGACACACAATCTGTGCAAACTGGCACTAATTCAGATGTAAAGATAAACCACGAGAAGGACAAAATACTTGGCTGACATCTAATGTTATCCTTGATTTTGAAAGTTCATAGTCCTTGAAAGAATACAGTGAGATCATTTAGTATCCACTATCTAAGTACATTCAAAATTTAATTAAAATACTGCACTCCAAAGCCAGCATTGGTACCACAAAGGTCAAAATCCACTCTTCTCCTCAATCAATTTTCAGTCTCTATTTATTTTAATGAATAATATTGACAGTCACCACAGCTTTCTTCAAAGTGGTACTCTGTAAATATAGCAGTTGAAGAAATGTGCCACAAGTGTAATCATGTCACCAACTTTTATCTGTTCTGCCAAAAAGGTTTATTTGCTTTCTTCCATAACACACATTACATACAGAAAAAACCAAGACAGTTTTACAAACCATGCTACTGACATGGATTCTTTATCTCTGTATGGACTACAAAAATGAAGGAATACATCAAATCTGAAGTTACATATTGTACACATTTATGGTATTTTGCTCCTTGTTTCAAAGGAAATCAGTATGCAATGTTGTCTCTGGAAGTAGTATCTCAAATTGCTGATGGTGCTGCTGTATTTCAGCATTTAAAAGCATAAAGGATAATTTACTCTTAAAACTACCTGGGCACGTTATATTTAACAAGTCTCAAATTCTCTTTAGGGATTATAATAAGAAAACACTTTGCTTAATCATAAATTTTATATTTATCTTGGCTAAACACCCTCTTTTGGATAGACTGCCATGTTTTGTCAAGAAAAATCAACACAGTGGAAATGAAGTACTTGTTCTGTTGTGTGGTCATTCAAAAGAGTATGTAGAAGTAATGTAAATGTGCACCAGCGCTGCTGATAATTTCACGCTCTCATACACTCATTTCAATTTGCTTTAAAAAGGACTATTCCTCCTGGCTAAATATAGTCATCATGAAAAAGCATACCTCCCCTTTGAGCTAATAACACTGCAAGCCTCAAGATACAACAGTACAAAAACTTCTATATTTTAAGGAACCTGAAGCACTTTCTTCTCACAGTATGTGTTTCTGAAGTGGGACAAATGAGACTGTTTTTTTTATTAACATGTTCTCATTTAGTGTACAGATTTCTCTTTGAAAATGACAATTCATTCCCACACTGCATCTCTGAATCCCATACTGCACCCCCAAATATATATACATATATCCCAAATGCTTCTTTCTAAAAGCAATGGGTCCTTGTAAAAGTAGTCTATACTTTCATACATTAAAAGACTTTGAGGATTACTGGGACATACAATGGCTCTGGAGGTTCTGGAATCAGACCTTCTATATGAAGAACCATAGAGCATTCATCTGCATCTTTGGATCCTCTGGAAGCAGTGATTTTTCACCAATGAGTTACAGTACAGCTAAAACTGTAATTACAGTTACTGACATCTTAAACCCAAATCTTTTCCTTCCTTTTAAAATTTACTTATTTTTTAATTACTTTCTAGTTTAATTTGGGCTTCTAATTTGTGGTTACAGAACTCAACTCCTCACACAACTACTTCTGTCTAACCTGGAGGGTCATAATCTGCTCAAATAAGACATGTAAATCATTAAAAGAGGGACACGAACCAGCCAGTGACTTGGGATACTGCCACCTTTCTCACACTTGGGATCACATGCAAATTCTACCCTAGAGACAAAGACAGAAACTGAATTTGATTTCCTTCCTCTCTTCTGACAGCTAGTCCTTCCCCCCGCCCCCACTCCCCACCCCTCAAACATCATATAGGTGCCTACATCATGCAGATCATGAAGAAGATTTGTCAACAGAAGACTAAAGCAGAAGGCACTGATATTTAGGTGTACTTCACTGAGAGCGGCAAAAATCAAGTAATCATGTACATTCTCTACTCTGCCCAATCTGGGAAGCTGTTCTACAACACAGGTCCCTTGCTGGCACTCAAGTTAATTTGGGTGATAATTCAAGGAACTGGATTGTACCTGACACCTAAGAACAAATTTCAAATATTTACAATGTCAAAATTATAAATCAGGTGCACAGGAAAAGGACTGAGCAACAAAGCTATTTCATTTTCTACCTTTTAATATTGCCATTACGAGAAAATTTCTTAGCTTGAAGATACAAATCAGACCAAAAGAAACCACATACTGCTGCTTGCTTCTTTTGGGAACCCATGAATATAGGAAACAGGGAAATTTTAGAAAGAGATTGCCATATAATATCAAAATTTAGGATTTTTTTTTTTTTTAATACTCAGGAGTAAACACAAGGAGAAAGAAAGGCCAGACAGACCTGCTTAACAAGATTATACTAATGTAAAGTACTGACCACTATGTTCTGACCCACTTTTCAAGGATTCCTGGAATTGTTATGAAGTTGCACAAAATATTTAGCATTATCAATTAAAAAAATAAATAAATGAAATCTGCAATAGTTTATTATATATAGGAACTTACATAATGCATAAATATTTCAATGGTTCATTTTTGCGCCATAATTTCCTCCCTCTATTTATTACAATTGATCAATTAAATTAAAGATTATCTGTTTGATCCACTTCACATAGAAAGATACCTTTGTGATGCAGTACAGTACTTCATAAAAATTTTAAATTTAACTGATTTTTTTTAATAATAAAAAGTAAAAAAGTGGGTTTTTTGACATATTGATAAGTCTAACTAAAAACTGTAAAAGTAACTCATTCCTACAATGTTAACGGATAATTTTGAGTATGTTCTTGGTAAAAACTTTTGACTGTTTCTGAGTAACTTTTTAACCAGTTTCTTCCAATTGTCTCTAAGGTAAAAATCAATTCTAAAATATTGTAACATAGCAAAATGTTAAATCCCAAATTACTGAATTAACTCCTATCAATACAAGACATAGCTCATTTGACTGTTATGACCCACATTTCATAGTCGATTTTTAGATAAAAACAAGCAGATTACCAGCAAAGGTTTATCTCAAATTCCCACATGTACAGCATGCCACATTAAATATATGCAAATCAACCTCTTTCTCCTCTACTTTTTTTGAGCTGACAACTCATATGACCTGAAGCAATGGTTAACGATTACAATTATTTGACTTTCGTATTTATACAATCAGTCATCAGATATGCATGTTAATTGATTTCAACAGATAGTTTTGTATCCTAATGATCAACGGTAAGTATACATTTTACCAACTTCTTGATTTAAAAGAAAATAAAATTTATATCTGTTTTCACAATTAACCCTTCATTGTATTGATTTGCAGTATTCAATTGAACTTGTCAATAATATGTTAACCCGGAAGTACTCCAAACTATAAAATCTTAATTTTGGTAGCAAAATTTAATTTTCAAATTACAGACACTCTTCTGTTTAAAATTTATTCAAACAATGCACTGTCAATTTATTAGAACTGATGAAAGATAATTTATACTTAATTGTACTGGGTAAACAAGTAGTTTGCACTTATTTAATATTCACATTTGGCCACTTAAAAGTTCATTTCTCTTTTTCAAAGAACCTTAGTCATGCATTCTTAGATTTCAATAAGCCCCTATATGTCATATATGTGACAGAGTACAACATTACATTTAAGATCCTTATTTTTCAAGCTACATGCTTAAGACCAAAGGGTTCCTCTGTTGTCATCACTAAATATATTAACTGAACTGGTTTGGTTTGGTTTTTTACAGGGCTGAAAACTTAAACTTTGCAATTAAAATTTTATTTTGGATGCCCTATTTCTGGAAACATAAAATAAAAAATTAAAAATTGCACACATTTTCAAGTGAAGAATTGACTACCTTCTAAGATTATACAAAGTGCAATCATTACCTTCCACAATTAATAGTTGTTGTTCTTTATGTCTATTCATATAAAAGAGTGGATATTGTATCTTACTCTCAAAGATTAGATCACATCTTGTTCTGTAGAAGGGCTCTCCCAATTTACGCCTTAATTGCTGTTGTACTAACTGATCATGCACCAATTTTGATAAAGCAAGAGCTGCTGGATCCCTTTCTCAGCATATTTTTAGACCAATATAGATATTTAATTTCTGCAAAATGAAGAATCTTTCAATTTCTATAAATAACTGAATGAGGTGCAGAGGCTATTAAACTTTTATTCAGGTGAGCTTTGTGCACTTCAAATTCTGCTACTATTCTCTTTTAGTCTGGTAGCTAATTTCAAGTTAGATTTATCCACTGAGATTCTGAGACATTCTCCACAACAAAATGAGACACTAGCATACTCATATAGATACACAATGCTTATTCAAGTTCTTGCAATGGAGCAGGAACAGAAGAAATTCAAAGTCACATTGCACAGCCGTGAATAAGCACTTTAACCCCTAAAACACTTTCATGGACTTCTCTGATTTTTAAAAAGTCTTGATTTCACACTAAACATAGCGAGAAAGTTAGTGAATATATGATGGGATTCTGTTGCTTACTTAATAGCTGTTTTCCTTAAACTAAGGTTTGCCAACATAACAAATACCAATAAAGCAAATAAATTCTCTTCAATCTTTCTGGGAAAGATTGAAACAACTGGGAAACTGGGAAACAACTTCTTGGCCCTCAACAGATCTTGGTTTTAATTCTGAACATAATGAAAAAGTCTGCAGGTCTGCAAAAAGAAGAAATACATTCTACTATAATCACTAACCCCATTTGAACACCACAGATGTATGTGCAGAAAGACCCTGGTTTCTCTTCTACAATTCAGTGCTATGAGTTAACCACCTTG